CCCCAAAACCCCAAAACCCCAAAACCCCAAAACCCCATTGTATGTAGGTATGGTTGAAAATAGAGTGAATAAAATAGGTTGATTTAGCGGGTTTTTGTTTGTTTTCGAAATATTTTATCTCTATTGAATAGTCTTTATTCGGTATATACCTCTGAGTCTCTGGTTATGTTGGGCTCGTTTTTCTTCTCTCTTGGACCCGATCTTTCTTACCCTAACCTCGCTCTGAGTAGACATGACTTGATTTGAAGGAGTAAATGGTTGCTCTGATGGAGCCCCAAATGATATGGTGTTGGCTGTCTTTGGAGTATACCTGTTCTTGTTGACCGGCTCCCAAATTCTAATCCCTACACAGTAAGATCAATAGCTTTAAATTTTTAATATTTCACCTTGTTCAAAATAGAAATCAAAGATTTACATCAATTTTTCTAATTATCACTTAAGAAAAGAATAGATGTTTCTTAAATAGAACCTCGGGTCTTTATTCTTCTAATCATCTAAATTGGCTAAAGTACATGCCACTGATTAATTTCCATGAATTATTAAGTAATCTCTTCAACAGATTTATGAACACTGTTCCATCTAATAATCTCTAATCAAAACTTCATTGTCAAAGAGATGAGCAATTTGTGCAGATTTTTAGCCGAATATGACAAACTATTGAGTTCAAAACCAAAGTACTCTTACTAGTTTGGTTGCCTGGATTCAGTGAATACTGAGAATGAGCGACGCTGCTCTCCATAGTTCCTAAACAAGCTTATATAATTATCCAAAGACCGTTAGAATAGAGAATCCTTTGCTAAATTCCTTACTACTAGCAGTCTTTCATTTATTCTTCTCAAATTTTTGCTTGAGTTTAGGCTTCAAGAGATATTTCATGAAGACTGAAGCTGGCTTGTTCTTACTATCTTTAGATTGACGGTGCTCTCAAGAAGGGTGTTTGTCAGTTTTGGCTAATTTAAGAGATTCGTCCTTATTTTCTTCAGTTTGAGTCTATGTATAGTGTTGAGAAACCTACCTTAATTTTCGTAATTCTGTGGGTCTGATAACGTCCAAAATTAGGACTTTTCTTAGTCCGGCTCCTGATAAGCTCTAGAGAAAGATAGTACGGTAACAATAAATACCAGAAGCAATATTCTAAAGTTGATTAATCCAAATTTACAGTAGTTTTGGCTGCTCTTTTCTTAAAAGGGGTTGATTTCACCCTATTCTGGCTCTCTTTACTAAATTTTACCCTCTCTTTGCTCTATAATACAGTTGTACAAATAAGCATGCCTTATTCTGACTTTTGATGGATGGATTCAGGGAGTGTTTCACTAAGAACTTTTTCCAAATAATTTTATGCTTATTTCTAAGGTTCCAACCACTATTTACTTTATTATTATTTTCAGAGTTTAGAAGACAAGAAATGTCCCTAAAGAATGCTGATTTTGATATGTTTTCTGACTCTCTTGTTGCTGATTTCCTATGCGAGATTTTTAAGATGAGTCCGATGGAGAAAAATGTCAGCCAGACTTGATGATTTACTTCACACTATGGCTCTGCCTGGCTAATTTTCTATATAAATATTAACTCCTGATCGATGGCAATATACAGCTTAGAGAATGGGAGTTTTGAAATATTTATAAACTATTTTTAAGAAATAGAGGGTAAGAAACAACAAAATCTTACTGATTAGTTGACCCTTCATTTGTATTTTTGGATGGCTTTTCAGTACTTCCTAAATATCAGCCTTGACTCCTTACAAGCTTTATCTCTAACTGTCATCCTTTTAGTCCTTTTCCTCGAAGTTGGAAGTCTGGAGAGAACAGCCACTTTTGGCTTGGGTGATTTCCCTAAAATTAGGCTAATTCTTACCTCCTAAAGGATCAAATGACCCATTATGAAGTTTCTGAGTATCTTGGACTTTATTTATAGCTCTAATTAAGGTTTTATCTTTCCGAAAAATCGACTTTGAAAGCATGGACCACCCATCTGGGGGCTCCTGACCAAAGGGAGGAGGAAAGTAATCAAACTGGCCGGGATCCTGGATGACTTCCTTAGTGTCTACATGTCAGCGATGGATTACTGTAAAACATCATCTGGAGAATCTGGTCTTTTGTAAGCTTTGTTTCTTCCATAATTCAACAGTTCAGTTAATTATTATTTCTTTGGGGTTTTGGGGTTTTGGGGTTTTGGGGTTTTGGGG